CGTTGCCTATCTGGAGACACAGCACTAATCTACTCACAAGAGCGAGGCCCCTTGGTCTCCTGTCTCAAAGGTCTCCCTACCTCCTGATGCCATCATATTGAGGGCCAAATTCCAACACATGAACTTGAGGGTTCTCAGAACCATAGCAGCCAGCATAACGATTATTCCTGACCTTGCTAAAATCAACGTGACCAACTGGGGTAAACACAGCCGTCGGTATGTGAAACACACCCTATTTCTCAAGAGTAGGTTTGAAAGTTCCCTTCATGCCTTACCCGGTGATTCAGTTCCCTAACAATTTCCCCACGAAACCTTCTCCATATCCGTGTGCCCAGCAGACATAGACACCCACAATGGTTCACAAAGATTGTGGGTCAGAGTTGGCCCTGCCACCTACCTCCAGTGTGACCTTGGACAAATGCTTGACCACACTTGTGCCATTGTTTACTCATTGGTGAACTGGGTAATCATAGTTCCCACCTCATAGAGTTGTGAAGATGACAGACACTGAAGTTGTAGCCCTCAGACAGTGCCCAGGGCCCCATATGTGTGATTCCCCTTACCACTGTGGGCTCTTACCTCCCCAACCTGTTTCCTATAAAATGAGGTTACTAAATTGTGTCACCAAGAACTCATATAAAAGATTCCAGTCTCATCGTGGAATGTGGGATAAAGGTTCCTCCCAATAATGTTCATGTCCTGACCTTTCAAATCTGTGTATGTTTTGCAGCATGGCAAAGAGGGACAAAGACCACCAATCTGCATACCTTGAGGTGGGAGCTTATCCTGGATCACCCAACAGGCCTATTAGTGCCAGGGTGCTGAGATTGGAGGCAGAACAATGGGCATGACGACTCAGTAGCCATTGCTGTCTGTGATGATGGAGAAGGGCCATGAGCCAAGGCATGCTGCGGCCTCTAGGAGCTGGAAAAGCAAGCAGACAGCTTCTCCCCTTGGGCCCAGAGGGAACCCAGCTCTGCAGGCATCTCAGTGAGACCCACTCCAGATTTCTGTTCTCCAGAATAGTGGATAATACATTTGTGGGCGACATTGTTATCATTCTGGGCTCAGTGTGTCTAAAAGTTAAAGATCCTGCAAAGGTTCTCGCACTGGTTCATCCTGTAATGCAGCCTCATTTTAGGACTGCTGATTCCCACAAAAACATGCTCTCCTCACCCAAACCACATAGTGGATGACACAAGTCGGCAGGTAGGCCCCTGGTACACCTTCACCTTGTCATGCGCCTGCAGGCAGAGAAGGTAGTGTGAGGTCCTCCCCTGCCATTTATGGGAGTCGCCAGCTGGAGTCCTGCCGTGCTGCTGAAACAGTTGCCCTTTTGAAGTGGACACCAGCCTTGGTCCTTTTGTACTGTCACAGCCTTTTGCACAAGGGGGGGTAACTGATGATGGTTTTGGAATGCCTGGATGCAGGAGAGCCAGTCCTGTGGAAGTACTGCATGGCTCCTCTGACATCTCTGGGACAGGAGGGCTGTCCTGGGTGATCGGCCAGCTTCTCTGAGTCTCCCATACGTCAGCAATACAAGCTAACCCAGAGTTTTCCCAGGTTTGGACAGCCACTCACCGATCATAGATATAAATATGGGGTGACATCCCCCTCCCCCAAGCTAACTAGTCTGGCAAGCACAAGTTTTACTTCCTGAGCAGACCTCTGTATTCTCAAATACAAAAGTGCACCCGAGAACAATGCACAAGCTTCCAACAGAGCAACGGTGCAGAGGTGCCGCTTGCTGTCATGCTCTGTTAGGCAAGTCACATGAGTATCGTTGCAGTCACAAGAGTATCATTGCTTGTTGAGAGCTCTTCCAGGCACATCCCATCAGACTCCCACTGTGCCTCTGAGGCAGCTGTGCTTTGGTGGTGCCCTGTTCCCAGAGTTCTTCATAATAAGGAGTCTCTGTTGAAAATCTCCAGGCCTCTTGGAAGCCACAGCGTGGAGTATGTTTACTGCGGTGCCCCCACACACTGCCCATCCACTTGGGTCCGCTTTCCAGACATGCACACTAAAGCTAGCATTTTGAAATGATCTAGCATCTAAGCATATGGGCATGCAGCCCAAAGTCAATAATCTCCTTAGCAAATTCTGGACTGAGGATGTAGGTTTTTAAATGAATTCAAAAAACAGCAGCCCAGTAACTTCAAAGATCAGTATGAATAACCATTTCATATTAAATTAGTAAGTCAGGAAAAATGATAGTTATTAACTAGCAAGATTCAATCGTTAATGTTATAAAAGGATGACTTTATTTCACAAATCTTATTTAAACATCAGAATTTTATCCTGGTTTCTTTCATTGCATTTATTAGATTTATATGGTAACTTGCAGAAACAGACTCAACAGGAAGAATAGAAATTCTGTTAAATAAGATTTCAGACTTCTAAAAATCAAATAGATTCAGTAAAGTAAATACAGAAGCAAACAAAGCAATATTTTGCTCTCAAGCATCTGGCAAATGAACTATTTGGTGAAATGGCGAAGTTAGACTCCTGTCCCACTTCTGAACCTTGAATGTATCAGCTACTTTGATTTTCAATGGGCTTCCCCTTTTCTTGCTTTGTGAACCCGAACAATGAACAACTTTGAACCTTAGCTCTTCTTACCTGTAGTACCAGAGGTCTGCTAAACTTAGTGTTATGTGATATTATGCTTTGTCTCCTCCAAAATTCATGATGAAATTTAATTGCAATGGTGATGATACACACACACACACACACACACACACACGCATATATATTACTTTGTTATAGGGCATGTGCACTCACCCCCTTTGAGGAGAGAGAGAAAGGGAAAGTGAGAAAGCCCCCTGGAGGGATGGCCACAACACAATCCCTTCTTTTCCATTCTCCTCTTGGGACTTTGGGCATGCATACACACACACCCAGTGTGTTTTTCAAGACATTGGGTCTGGAACTCAAGCTGCATAGTTGGCCATGTGGGATCCAACAGCCTTAACCACTATGTCACTGGCTGCCCCTGCAATTCCGATGACATTAAGAGGTAGGGCCTTGGGACCAGCAGATGGTGTAACGATTGTGTTATTGGACTTCCATAGCCAGCTGTGGTTTGAGTATCGGACCCAGTGGCCCCTTTGAGAATCATGAAAGTGGGGATTGGCAAATATTAGGATACTGCGCAAAGCCAAAGAGCAAGCAATGAGAAGTGGCACAGCAGCTGGTGGCGCACAGTCTGGGTGGATAGCCACGTGATCCAGGGGACATCAGATGAAGCATTCGGAAGGGCCTTGCCTTCGTAATGAGGACAATAAGCTCTAGGTTAAAGATCCCATGTCCTACCTGACACATCTTGAAAGTAAGAATCACATGGCTAAATTCTTGAATATTTACTGGGATATAAAAATATCCAGCAGTCAACAATGTAAAATTCACAAGTCTGATATCCAGTTGAAAAAAATACCACATATTCAAAGACACAGAAAAATATGACCCATAGTAAGGAGGAAAATCAATATCCAAACTGTCCCAGAAATGACATAGAAGTTAGATGAAGGAGGTTAAGGCAGAAAAAGAGTGATCATGTATTCAAAAGTTAGGTGGAGATTTGGAAGACATGTATTAAAAACTTAAACAAGTGACTAGCAGCTGGCATCGTGGTTAAGGCACTGGATTCCTACATGGTCAACCATAGTTCAAGTCCCAAACCCAGCAGTTTGAAAATCATGTTGGGTACATGTGTGCCCAAAATCCCTACAGGAGACTGAGGAAAAGGCATTGTGGTATGGTCTCAAGTCACCCCTGGGGGGGGTGATTTCTCATTTTGCCTCTCTGTCTCTCTCTGGTGAGCTCATGTATCCTATGCCAAAAACCTAAAGAAAGAAAGAAAGAAAAATTGAAAGGAAACAAATTAGACTTTTAGAATGTATGAGGAAAACAATACTACAAGAGATTCAGGGATGACTAGGCATGGGAAAAGTACAGCTATTCTGAGGGTACAGCAATTGAAATTCTGAAGATGAAATAGAAGGACAGAAACAAAATGCTTTTAAATGAAAATAGCACTGATATTCTGTGGGACAACCTCTAGTGACCTAGTTCACATGAAATAGAAGTCAATGAAAGTGGGTTTTCTGATCTTGGTAAAATGGTAAATCCCCAGATAAGAGAGACACAGCCCAAACCAAGGACCACAAATATGAAGCCACTACACCCAGGTCCATCAGATCAAATTTCTCTAAATTAATGATGAACAGGAAACTTTAAAAGCAGCAAGAGATGGTGTAATGGTTATGTCACTGGACTTCCATGTAGATGACCATGGTTCGAAGTCCTAGACCCAGTGGCTTAACTGGCTTAACACTCACTCCAGATGAATGTGTGTGCCCGAAATTCCAAGAAGAGAATAGAAGAGAAGGGATTGCAGTGTGGCCATTCCTCCAGTGGGTGATTTCTTGCTTTCTTTCTGTCATTATCTGTTTCTGCAGCAAGTGCATGCACCCTATAGCAAAAATCTGTCTCTAAAAAAAAAAAAAAAATAGCAGTAAGAGAAAGGGTTGACCTATAGCCTAGTGATTAAAGAAGCTGGTTCCACATGGCCAACTGCAGTTTGAATTCTGACTATGGTGGTTTGAAAAACATGCCAAGCATGTATGTGTGTGTGCTCAAAATCCCAACATGGTGAAGAAATGGCGGGGAAAGGGCTGTGGTGTGCCCATGCCCCATTGGGGGGGAGTGGTTTCTGGAGGAGTCCGACCCGGTGAGGCCCCATGATCTGTCTGAGCCCCCTGACCTTTGAGCTCCGCTTCCGGTTAGATCAACACGTTGGCAAGGCTACTGTTGTGCACCCCCCGACCTTGGAACAAAGCTTGGGTCAGTTAGCATGTCAGTAAGGCTGCTTGCTATTTGCTCCAGAGAATTGAGGCACATAGGACGTGCAAGAAAGGCATCGAGGCCTCTGTCTTCTGTTCACCTTCGCTGCCTTCGTCGAGATAACCCACCCACGCCGAGGCTGGACCCCGGCAGGTTTCTCCACTCTGTCTCTGTAGTCATCTCTCTCGCTCTCATGTACACATGCTCTCTGACATGACAAAAAGTCTGTGGGTTGAGCTAACACAATACTTTGAGAGAAATTTATAGCATTAAAAGCCTACATTGGAAAAGAGAAAGGTCTCAAATGACCTCAGCTTTTTTAGTGAAGATCTACAGAAAGGAAAATGAATTATGCCCAATGAAAGTAGAAGAGAACAGGAAATAAGCATCGAGGCAGAAATCAGTATAATAGACAACAGTAAAACAATAGAGAAAAATCAGAGAGCCAAAGCTGGTTCTTTGATATGATCAATACAACTGATAAACCTCTAGCCAGGAAGTTCAACAAAAAAGACAAATCATTCATACCAGGAATGATAAAGGTGACATCAGTACATGTCCTATAGATACTGAAGGAGTAAAAAGGAAATAATGTGAACAACTTTGCATTTACACATTTGACAACTGAGATAAAATGGAAAAATTCCTTAAAGATACACATTAGCAAAACATAAGAACTGGATGTGCTGAGTAGACACATATCTACCAAAAATTTAAATCCACAGTTAAAAACTTTCTAACAAAACTGCACTCCCAGATGGCTTCACTAGTGATATTTATCAAACTTGTAAGGAAGAAATAGAACCAACTTTATACAAACTCATCCAGAAAACTGAAGTGGAAAGAATATTTTAAAATTGACTCTAGGATTACAGCATTATTCCAATAGCCAAATGAGAGAGATTTAATAGTACAACAAAAATCCAGACCAACCTTCCTCATTGTCACTGGCTGCTTCTCTCTGGATGAGTTACCTCCAGGGAGTCTCTCTGCTCAGTTCTGGTCCATCCTAATGTGCCCCAGTGACTGTCCAAACCCAGATTCAAGCTCAGAAACACTCTGTGCCTGTTTGTTGATTTGCTTTCACTTGAACTTGAGATCATCATGGAATTTTTCTTCATACTACAGTGCTTAGGACACAGATGTTTGGTAAATCTTCTTGGATTCCATGGGTTGAAATGGCAGAATTGAAGGATGATGTGGAATGCAAGAAGGCAGGATTGAACAGAAGTGTTAGTGGGCTCAGATTCAACTGGGAAGGATGTGATGAACTGAACATATAAAATCTAATATGAACAAAAATATTAACCTTATTTATGACCACAAAATGAATAGCACAATTGCAGAGAATATGGTAGAAGAAGACATTGTACAGCAATGGAATTTGATTTGAGGGAAAGGGTTGGAGGCCTCCAAAAAGCCTACTGGTCATGGCCTTGACTCTTAAACTCTGACAACCCCAAATAATTCCTCTAAATCAATCATAGTAAGCCCATTTTCCAGAGATCAACTTAGGAATGAATGTGAGGGGAAATCTCCTTGGGAACTTCTTGAAAAAGTTTCCTCATGCCTAGTAAGAACTAATAAGACTTAGGCAGATAGTCTCCCCCTTCTACAGACATTTAATCTATGGATGTGATGTGTGGACCTGTAGTAGCCATTTTGAGATGTAGAGGGGTGCCTATTATCCTGAGGCAAAGCCAGCACATCTTTCTAGCAAGAGATGGCTTCTGCTGACTTTCTCAATTTTTGTGAAATGATATATTCCCTGATCATCTTAGTCAATTTGAGCCGGGTTTTATAGTAGTTACAGCAAAATAAATAAGTAAATAAATAAATTGTACAGTCATAAATAGTCATGTAATTTGGGGCTGCACTAATGTAAGTGTGGAGAGTCAAAGATCATGTATTGTTTAGGTAAAGGCCGTGCTACCATAACAAAGACCCCCTCTCTGTCTCCCACAGAACAATGGGATAGAAGTTTATTCTTCCCATAGGTGCAATGAGGCAATCACGGTTCTTACCCAAGGAGGGCAGTTCTGCCGTCTTCAGCAGAAGTGTCTAACCTTGTTCCCATCAGTACCTACACTCTGGAAAGGAAAGCGCATGGAGGAGGATATGTCTGATGTTTTAGGGAGCAGGCTTGGAAGCAGGGCTCACCAACTCTCTTCACAGAGGCCATGGGAGACTCAGTCACTTGCCCATAGAGCTGAAAGGGAAGTGGAAACAGTTCTGTCAGCAGCATGCTCCCATCCACAGTTGTCAGCAAGGAAGACGTGGAGACCAGTGCTGTTGAGCTGCTAGTCTTTAGCCCAGAGCAGGTATGGCTTTCTTTCTTTCTTTTTTTTTTTTTTTTTTCTGGAGAGGTTTTCACTATAGGGCGCGTGCGCTCGCCAGACAGACAGAGACAGAGAGATAGAAAGCGAGAAATCACCCCCCAGGGGGGATGGCCACGCTGCAATCCCTTCTCCTCCATTCTCCTCTTAGGATCTTGGGCATGCACGAACATGCGCCCGGCGTGAGTTTAAGCCACCGGGTCCGGGACACGAACCGCAGTCTACTACATGGGAGTCCAGCGACATAGCCATTACGCTAACTGCTGGTCCCAAGAGCAGGTATTTCTTAAGTATCACACTCCCAGACTATTGTTTACCAAAGTGGGGAGACACGAAAGTACAAACAGAGCTGGAGGTAACTTGCCAGCATCAGCAAGCAGGTGAGTTGATCAATGCAATGGTGAGTGGGGAAGCGGTGGGTTTGAATGAGGGGACCTGGAAAGAGACTCCAGGGCTGCTGAGGCAGGCCAGAACACCGGTGGTTCCTCAGATGTGTGAGGGATGGTCAAGTGGAGAAGACAGTAAATGGATTTATTTTGACTCCAGGGCAGAGGCCTTCTCCTAGATGCAATTTACTAAGCAACTATAGCTCAACCACAGGAGGGAAAAAAAGTATGACAAGAGTTGTGGTTACTCAAGTTAGAAAAAATAAATACTGAGACATGGAGACAATGTAAACCTGGTGGTTTAATCACAACGGGTTTATACTTTATAATTTGGTGGAGATATGCTTTTATTTTCTTTAAAGAATTATTTAATTTATTCATTTTAATTTGACCACACACACACACACACACACACAGAGAGAAAGAGAGAGAGAGAGAGAGAGAGAGAGCAAGCTAACAGGTGTGGGCACAAAGAGAGAGAAAGCAAGCTACCAGGTCTGGACTCAAACCATGGTCAGCCATGTGGTAATGTCCAGAACCTTAACCATCATACCACCTGCTGGTCCCTATTGCTGAAAAGTCTTTGACCTTAGATTTACCAATTTCTAGTGTGTCAATTTTGGAAAAGACCATGGCAATCGAAATGCAATTATGTGTCACGGATGTATAGATATATAAAGTCCCACTTTCATCCATGTCTTATCTGAAGTTCTTGGTCTTCCAAGGATTTGTTTTTCGGGCCTGCTGCCTGATTCCCACTGTGCCTCAGTACATTGGGGTACTGGGTCAGATGTGGACCTCTTGCTGACTTCCAAGGTGACTCTGCTGGGCCCAGACCCATTCTGAATGTAAGATGAAGCTTTTTATTTTGGAAAGAGTTTTGCCCCTAAAACAAATACTGATGACCATATTCTTTAAAAACGAACAAACAAAACAAACAAACAAAAAAACAAAATCATATTCTTTAAAAATAAACAAACAAACAAAACAAACAAACAAAAAAAAACAAAACTGCTGGGCTAACACGTTGTTAGATTAATAACTAAATTATAACTTTCTGTCCTATGGAGAGATTCTCAATCAAGTCTTTGACATATTCTCTCCTAGTATCAATTAAGTAACTCATTTGGTCTAAAAGTGCCAAAAATATACCACTGACCCCTTCTCTGCATCACAAAAGTTTCTTTCTTTCTCCCTCATTTTATTCTTTTTCTTTTAGGTGAAGACAGCCAACGTAGATCCTGAAGTAGAAGAAATGAGATTGATATTTCACCAGCGAGCCTGATGGCTGTATGCTGAGCAGGCCGGCCACCCTGGTGTGAGACTAAGTTAAAAGGTACTGCACGTGGACAGCTAAGTTCTTTGCTGTCACTGGCAGACTCAGTTTCCTTTGTCAATTTCTGGCTGTGATATGAGGCGCTCAAAATGCTAGAGAGCCTTTCTTGGCTAGAATATGCTAGAAAGTGTTGCTTTGTATGGAGCGCGTTGTCAGTCAGCTAAGCTACATTGCCAGCGAGAGTGAGTGTGAGTCTGGCCAAGGTTCTGGGTCTCGGCGTCTGGGCTACGTTCTCTAATTATTCATTCACCCACATTTCCTGCTGGGGTTCTCTATGGAGATATTTGGTTACTGATACAAACACATTATTCTCATTTCAAGTAACCTAGGACTCGAGCTCCCGAGAATGACTCTGCCTTTGTAGGATCTGAAATGGTACAGACACTTCCCTCCACCCTGTCTGATCTTGGTACAGCAGAAAGTGGAAACAGATGGAGTGGGGCCCCCAGACAAGGCTGGAACCCTGTCAGGTAGAAATCAGAGCCATTCCGGATGTCCAGCCACTGCAGGGGCTCACATGTCCTCATTCTGTGGGACTTTTATCTGTAAAAGATAACTGGGGAACAGGATAAACTGTGGGCAGGGTTGGAGAAACGGGATGTCCAGAAATAGCTCTTGTTGTAATACATATTTCTTCTTGGGGCCGCCTTCTTGTCTGCTAGAAAAATCATGAACAGGTTTTATTTTATTACTATTTGTCAAGTTAATATCATTAATTTTACATGCTGTAATAACCTTAAATTATTTTTAACTTTGAAATAATTGTAGATTCATATCCCACTGTAAGAAGTAATAAAGAAAATGACAATGGTTCAAGTCCCAGACCTAGTGCCTTGAAAATCATGCCGGACACATGTGCATGCATGCCCAAAATCCTTAGAGGAGAGTGGAGGAGAAAGGATTACAACATGGCCATTTCCCCCGAGAGGTGATTTCTCACTTTCCCTCTCTCTGTCTCACTGTTTCTCTCTGGCAAGCACACATGCCCTATGGCAAAAAAGCCAAAACAACAACAACAACAACAAAACCTTAAAAAAAGAAAGAATACAGAAAAACATTTACATTTTCCCTCACTCATACATCTTGTAAAATTATAGGAAAGTATCTCAACCAAGACACTGATGCTGATACAGATAAGAAATGGAACATTTCATTATCAAGATCTCTCTTGTGGCCCTGTTATAGACACACCTGCCTTCCACCTTCCTCACCACTCCCATCCCCAATTCCTGGCAACCAGGAATCTGCTTTACATGTCTATAATTTTATTATTTTAAGATTGTTTAAGTAGAATTATATAGAATGTAACTCATTGAGAATACACTCAGCCTCTTTGGCATTCAAACTAAAACCTGGAGGTTGTTGCTGGGTCAAAATCAGTTCCTCTTCATTGCTGATTAATGCTCCATGGCAGTTTGCTTAACTGTTTGACTAGCCAGATGGATCTGGGAGATTTCTGGTTCAGAGGTATATAAAGTTGTGTGGATCTTTGTGCACAGGTTTTTATGCAAATATAAGTCTTCATTTCCCTGGGATAATTGATCAAGGGTATAATTTCTGGGTCATAAATTTTTATGATTTCTTTTATTAGAAATCGTCAACATTATTTTTTATTTTTAAATTTTTAAAATTTTTATTTCAATTTCTTTTTTATACTCAATCATATATTACTTAGCTTGCAAAGTGAATATTCCAAAATATATACATTGCTCACCAGTCCAGTTGAGAATACTATGCATGTTACCTTCAACAGATAATAACCTATTTCTTTGTCCCATAAATGCCTTGCCTATCTATTTTTCTCCTTAATTTCCTTCCTCTACTCCTTCATCCACCTTTTTCCCACACTGTATCTGGTATTTATAACCATTTACTATGTTTCTATATTCTCTAGTCATTCAGTTTCAGCTACAGAGTGTGGACAGTTGGTATATATTAAGTGGAGACATACAATGTCTCTCCTTCATAGTCTGGCTTGCTTCACTCAGCAGTAAATCTTCCATATTCACCCACTTTCTGTCAAAAGCCAGGGTCTTGTAGTTTTTTATGGTTGAGTAGTATTCCATAGAGTATATGTGCCACATTTTTTCAACCTATTCATCTGTTCATGGGCATTTGGCTTGGTTCCATAACTTAGTAATTGTGAATAATGACACAATAAACATCAGTGTGCAAGCACTTTTCCAACTAAAGAGTCTTCCATACTTTGGGTAGATACCAAGGAGTGGGATTGCTGGATCATATGGCAGTTCTATTTGTAGATCTTTGAGGAATCTCCGTATTGCTCTCCACAGTGCTAGACCAATTTACATGCCCACTAGCAGTGTAGGAGAGTTCTCCTTTCACGACATCCCCGCCAGCACTCTATTTTTTTTTTTTTTTAAATCTTAGTTATTCTGACGGGGGTTAGGTGGTATCTCATTGTGGTTTTGATTTACATCTCCCTTACAATGAGGGATGTTGAACATTTTTTTCATGTGCCTTTTGGCTATTCATATGTCTTCCTTAGAGAGTGTTTTTTTGTTGTTGTTTTTTTGTTTTTGTTTTTTCAGATCATTCTTCCATCTTTTAATAGGTTGATCATCTTTTTTCTTTTCAGGACAGCTGCTTGAGTTCCCTGTGTATTCTGGTTAGTTATTAGTTCTTTATCTGAGGCACAGTTTACAAAAATATTTTCCCAGTCTGAGGGCTGTTGATTCACACTAATGATCTAATTACTGCGTTTTTGGTTTTTTATTTTGTTGCCATGCAGAAACTTAATCTGATGTAATTCCACTTGTCTATTTTGGGGATTATTGATTGTGCTTTGGGGGTCTTATTTAAGTTGTCTTTACCTACCCTAATGTCTCCCAGAATTTCCCCAGTGTTTTCCAGCAGCAGTTTTATAGTTTGAGGTCTTAGGTTTAGATCTTCGATACTCTTTGAGTTGATTTTTGCCAGTGGTGAGAGGTAGGGGTTCAGATTTATCTTTCTGCAGGTGGAGATCCAGCTTTTCCAGCACCATTTGCTAAAGAGGTTTTTTTCCTTTCCCCACTGGATTGACTGGTATCCTTTGTCAAACATCAGTTGGCTATACGTTTGAGAGTTTATTTCTGGGTACTCTATTCCATTCCATTAGTCCACCTGTCTGTTTCTGTGCCAATACTATGCT